CAAACCATTTTCAAATAAACAAGCATGAAATGTTTTGTTCCAATTCGGACGACCCAGTCTATACTTGTATGCTGTGCGCATCACATAGAAATCTAGGCTAATAACCGGAATAAGAACGCATAATGTTTTCAAAACTAGATATCATGGTTAGTAGAGGCCGATCTTTGATCGGGTGAGCGGGGGTGCTCACGAAGTGACCTTCCCCAATCGTATCCAAGTTCCGAGCCGAGGCAACTTTGGTGATGGCGGACACGTGACCTTAGGCAACGAGTCAGGGTTTCCTAAATTCTCCCAAAATAAATATTTAGGTGGCGACTCTGTATCTGGCAAAGCAGTCCATGTTTGGTACTTCTTTCAAAAAATCTGTTTTCAAAAACGATTTACCGGATTTGGACTCTTTGATGATTCATCGGTCTTGCATTGCACTCTGCGGGATTAGATACAGGACCATGACACCAATTGAGTCCGAACTGTAGCATGAGGCCCGAGGGCGTGTCTACAGGCCTCCCCTTATATGGAGGGAAAACAATGCAAAGCTTCTTCAACAAGCTTTGCAAGAGCTTCATCCCTCCGTACACGTGTATGGAGGGGAGATGAAAGGATTCCAGCTGGCTCAAAAGATCCAGCGTGAAACCTGCTAAGACAAGGGGTCTTTCGGCCATCAGGGATGGTCGGCAGTGGCTCATTGATGGCCGGCAGGCTCAATCAATGGCCGGCAGCAACAAAGCTGGGGCCGATAGGACCAAAAAGGGGCTGGCAGTGCCCCAAGGAGCGCATTCTGAAAGGACCAAGTCATGGTCCAAGAATGGGGCAGAAAGGATACAAGGTTTGGAAAGCTCGAACCTGTGACGTTCCGCCACAAAAGTCAAATACCCATTGAGCAATCAAACTTGTGTCCGGATTTACCTGCAAGCACAACCGAGTCTTGAGGACGGTCAAAAATGGGGTGTCTACAGTTGCCCCTCTTTAACAGAACTCAAAAGTCACAAAGTGACGGGAGTGAGTGTCAAAGCCCAGAGACGACCCATTTTTAACAAGGCCGAAGACTCAGGCAGACATTCAATATAAGCATGCAGAGATGCGCCCGTAGGCTGGGGCAAAATGAAACGATATGCAAGATGCAAGAGCATAACTTATGATTCTGCAAAGGCAAACTGTAATGAAGTAGTTATGCAAAATAAATGCAACATTTTAAGCAAGTGAATAACAATCTTACATATTTCAACAGAAAGAATGTAAGAAAATTATGCAATCCTCACCACGTCTATCGTGGAGTACATACAATACTGTCCGGTTCGTCTGGTCGTGCTGACTCCAAATGAACCGTACATACAATATCGTGCTTGTAAAAGAAAGAAACTCAACATGTACAATATTGTTAGAAATATGCATAACAATGCAAGTGAAAAATGTGTAACAACGCAAGTGGAGGTAGTGCATGACAATGCAATCCTGAGGGTGCGAGACAACGCGAGTGAAGATAGTATGCGTAATAGCGCAAATAAAACATGCGTGCGTGACAGCGCAAGATAAAGCATGCGTAACAGCGTAAGTAACAAAGTAGACATGCGTACCAGCGCAAGTAAAACATGCGTGATAGCGCAAGTAAAACAAAACATGCGTAACAGCGCAAGTAAGGTGTGCATAACAATGCAAGATAGAGGTATGTGCATGACAGTGCAAGTAAAGATGTGCGTGACAGCGCAAATAAAGCATGCGTAACAGCACAAGTAAAGACATGCGTAACAACGCACGTAAGGTGTGCACAATAATGCAAGATAGAAGTGTGTGCGTGACAGCGCAAGTAAAGATGTAGATATGCGTAATAGCGCGGGTAAAACATGCGTAACAACGCAAGTAAAGACATGCGTAACAGCGCAGGTTAAAGGGAATAAAACATGCGTAACAACGTAAGTTTAGAAATAAACATGTGTAACACCGCAATAGATGAGATAAAATATGCGCAACAGCGCAAGTAAAGACAGTGAACATGCGTAACAGCGTAGGTTAAAGAGGTAAACATGCGTAA